CTGTGCAGAGCATTCATCTTTGCTGTTTAATATGCAGCTGTAAGTTACTGATAGAGGATGGAACGGGAGCACAGATGAAGGAGCTGGAAGAAGCTAACAGGGTTTGCAGAATTCTGCCATCATCAGAAATCTCACTGCGAAGCCCATTCCTCAATGTAGCAATGCTTTGCTTTTCATTTTCTAACTTACATAAAGAGAACAGATTTCATATATGCAATTTAAAGTGCATAATGCTACTTCCTATTTTCCTTTCCTTCTTTAACCATAATTTACTTTATAATCAGACTGGATTCTTCACTAAGGAATTTAGGAAGTAGAGAGTATAAAGACCACTACTTCTTAGGAGTATAGATAAGGGTTGTAAGGAATATTCAGATTTCAAGATGTCAGTTTTATTCACAAGAATCACATGTTTTACTCTATATTAGCCTCTACAAATCAAAGAACATACAACACTTGGTTTTGGGAGCCTGCTTTATTTCACTGATTGCAACAGTCTCCAGTTGCATACACTTTGCTGAAAAGAGATTTATTTTTTATGGCCGAGTAGTATTCCATCATGTATGCTGAAGTTGGGGGTGTGGGAGCTGTAGTGGAAATTTTTGAATTCTACAGTGGAGCCCTTATGAATAGAGACTGTATACTGCAAGTGGGACTTTAGAAAGCAAGGCTGGTCCTGGAGTCTCCTCTATTTCACAGGTACTCATAGTTCTTCCTTCATATGCCGCAATATGAAACAGAATGGAGCTGTCCCCAGCTGTAGTCTCCCAAGCTTGAGCGGTAGCCTCCGGAACTGTGAGATGAATAATCTGCTTTTCTTTATCAATGACCCACTCTCAGGTATGCTGGTATAGAAATAGAAAAATAGAACATGACAGATTCCAAGAAGTGACATTTACGCTGTAAACCAGAAGTGAATAGGAGTGGACTATGGACAGAGGGATATGAGGATTAATGTGTGTCTGTTTTGGGGAAAGGTGCAAGAAAAAGGGATGAAGAAAAGGTGTAAGGCATTAAGAGAAGAGCCCTGAGAGTTGATGCTATATAAAGTTGGAGGGAGTGTGGGAGTCAGACTGGGTCTGTCTTGCTCATTTAAAGTGTGAATGTGTGGAGCTGAGAATGATCAGGAAAATGCCATTTTGGGCAACTAGATTCGTATTGGCTTGTTTATTGATTCAGAAAGAGAGTGATTTGGAGGGTGACATTCAATTTGATACTTAAAACATGCAAGAAGTTACATTTACCATCATTGGTCATGTGGTATATTTATTCCGTGACTTCATAGTTTTCTTTGGCGCGATCGGCACTTTCTCAGTGGGGACAGGGATCATGTCTGTTACTTCATCTTGAATCTGGGAAGGAGCTTGTGGCTACACCAAGGAACAGAGTCTAAGACATCACGTCCATCTGTACAATGTTCAGCCTTTCTTGTTTGCTTTCTTGGGAAGGTCACCCTTGGGGTCCACCTGCCATAGAGTGACCAAGCTCTCTTTTCTCTGACTTGTCCTGACCCCAAAAGGCTGTGAAGGATTAGAGGGATTCTTTGATCATACTAGATATTGGAGTCATTTATAAAACACAAAGAAAGAATAAACACACTACACTTGGCATGCTTCTGGGAGAGTCACATAAAACACGCAAGAGAACATCTCAAAGTTTGAGGGAAAATTGATTTCAAGATAAATTTCTTTTGATGCAAATATTTTGAATTCTATGGCTAGGCTTTTCAAAATACCCATTTTCATATCAATTTTAGTATGTGTGCTGCCGAAGTGAGTACAAAATACCCATTTTCTAGTAGCTTCATTATGCATAGATTTCTCCATTTTTATACCAAGATAGAGTTATCCTTTTCAAATCCATTTTTAGATGTTTTGACATTCCCCCCTACATTCCTTTATGTGGCAGATTTGTCTTTTAGTCTTTTTGTAAGATCTTACTTTTCTGTTCTTTGTCAAGAAATCCTTGTTCTTACCTTCCTAGCGCTGATTGAAGGGGGCTAGAGAAGGCCAGGGAAGAGATCCATATGGAAGAAATGACGAGCCCTGTGTCAGTGCTGGAAAGAGGTGGTGGTGACAGTGAGGACCACTGTGCCCCCAGCCACAAGCCTTCACAGGGTCTGACTTCCTGTAGTACATGGATGTGCCATGTTGGGTGGCATCACAGCCTCAAAGACTGGCATTCTGCCCTGTTAAAAAGAGGCTGGCTGGCTGGCTGGCTGACAGCAAGAAATAACAGCTGGGTTGTGTTAAGAAATTTTTATTGTTTCCTTTGGATTTGTGATGAAAGCACATAAAATTACAAGTGGAGGAAACACCATGCCACAAAATTGCATAGAATTATTACAAAAATGTGAATTATGCAGTTTAAATAATTTGAGATAGAGGAACCAAAATATGTACATTTTAAAGAGCTTCATACTTCATCCTATCTTGTCATTTCTTCTTAAAAGGCGAAAGTCACAACGTCCAATCCGTCACAAACAATATTGGCACAGTGTACAAGCACAACACTGAGTTCAAAGTACTGCAAGCAATCAGTGGCCCCTTCTTTGAGAATTACTTAATGACTATTTACTACAGGAGCTATTCTGTTAGTGGAGGGTGATGCTGAAATGTGAGAATGCTACAAACCCAAAACACATGGCATGTCAATAGAACTCCGAAGATTGGATTGCACGGCCCAAACCATGCTATTCTCAGTAGTGTGAAGATATCAGAGGGACATGGTCTAATTCAATACACAGCTCTACTGCCTAGTCTAGGAAAAAACCACAGTACAGAATTTCACACATTCAACAACAACAACAACAAAAGGCAAATACAGAAAGGCACAAAACTGCACATCATATAGGTCCTTTTCTTAGTCTATTTCAAGTAATATTAATAGTTAATGATAATATAACTGTAGTTTCATTGATGCAAGATGGACAGTGCTACACACTACCCCACAACTGCAAAAAGTGTCATTGTATCGATATAAAAATGTGATTACAGTAAATGGCCAAATACAAACATATTGTAAAAGGACTAAAGTCACTAAGAGAATGAAATCCAACTATGGAAGTTTTGTGGAAGTCATGGTTATCCAACCCTTGTTTGTCTCTAGACTAAAATATGATGCAACGCTATGTAATAGCCATCATTGCGTTTGCTTATGAACGCTATTAGCTCACTGTTCAGTTTTAGACAGTCTGATTTTGCTTATGAAGACGCAGCGTTCCATTGTGACCATTCTTGCTTCTTTATGATTAATGCCTTCCTTTCAAAGTGCAAAAGTAGAATGATTTACAAAAAGATTATTTTTTTCTCAGTGGAAGTTCAGTTTTGTTAAGCATCTAACAGGCCAAGTCTTCCCAATCAAAATGTGATCATCTGCGGAGAGGACACGGTCTTTTTTCTAAGTCGCTTCTTTCCTAATGCTTGAACTAAGCTTTCCTTTAGATGAAAATGTAATTGTTATTGCTTAAAGATAAATAATTTCCATAAAAATATTCTTACAACACAATTTTCAGGACACACTGGTTTTTGTGTTTGAAAATGTCTTGCAAAGCTACAGACAGTTTTCTTTTAAATTAACATAAAGCTGTGAGCATCCTGCTTCTGACCCTTAACTTCAAGTTCTTTATGTTACACTCTATATTATATTTTTTCCTCTATATAATTATTCTTTCTTGATTAGACCTTTGAATAATATTTTAGACCACTTTTACCATTATAGCTTTTCTTCTGCCAACTAACCACAGAAATGTAAAAAGACAGTTAAGTGGGTTAAATGTACATAGGAAATATACAATAAACTGCTTTTGAAATGTTAGAATAAAATTAACATCTGTCAGACTTTAACATTATGGAAGATACCATAAATTCTTATAATCCTATACATTTTATACATTCTAATAACCACTAAGTAGGCTTAAAACCCAATGCTTAAAATTTAATTTTTGCATCCTGCAAAATAACATATCATATTAACAGTCTAAGTCTCCCTGAATTTGCACCACTGGCCCCATTGATTGTTTCTCAGTATTTTCATGTAATTTATTATTTTAAACTACATATTGGACATTTTCTCTATTTAGCCTTGTGGAAGAGATTTGAGTCACTGCCGATTAAACACACATCTATACTTAGTGTGTTTTCACATATGCACTGAACTGGTTGAGTGCATACATATATCCATGAAGATAATATAGACCATTCTCAGTGACTCTAAGGATTCTCTAGATAAATATTCAGCTTTCTCTTTATGAAAAATAAAAGGACCATAAGAGAATGTCAGACTGCAAAATTACCACCAGAACTTGTTCACTACATCAGCTCTTTTTTATGTAGCAGAATGGACTGTTTGTTGTTCTGGACCATGTAGAGGCCAATGATCAATGCATATCCCGACATGGAGTGCAGAGTCAGTTCAGGGAGCACGGTGCCTGGAAATGCACAGCCAGCTTGCTCCTGCAGCCAAATGGCGATCAATTCGTATTGCTCAGTCTAGGGGATGCCCTCACTGGGCAATCAGGTGATAGTGTTGAGCAAGAAAAGCAGCGTATTGGCATCACTATGGTATCTAATACAGCCATGTCAGCAACAAATACACTGATGTCTGTATGATAAATAAATTAGAAAACTGCAAGCCACCAGTGCTTGCAAAGCAAAGGATGAAGCAAGTTAATATGCATATTCACTTGAAGAGATGGTAATTGAGGGGCAGTTGGGGGAAAAATGCTCAAAGGTGGCTGTTCAAGAGTGCTAAATAGTGCTATGCATTAAACAAACTATTTCTAATACCTTGAATTACATTACATCAGCGCTTCAAGTCAAAACACAAGCTCAATTTCCTTTAAAGAAGCTAGTTTCCTTCATTAAATGCAGAAGTCCCCTGCTTTGACTTTGCCACTGATGAGCAAACAGAAATCCCACCTGTAGGCATACTCTTCCCTAGCAGGCTTGCAGTAGTTTCCATGTGACAAATGGAACCTGGCCATGAGGTCTCTGCGTGATTCCTTCTGGAACTCCCATAGGTGTGGATGGTAGGCTGAGGGATGTCTCCTAGGAAGATAGTCCTGGGCAGTGATCTGTGTGGTAAAAGTCCAGTGAGGCTTGCGCAGCCATGCATACCCTAAAGGTCTGGCAGGAGCGATCACAGGGGAGTATCAAACTCTTTGCCGGGGTTGTCTCCTTCTGTCTCCTCGCTGGGTGGAGGCTTGTGGTTAACCTTCCCAGGGTCTGAGGCCACCGAAGGAGGGACAGAGCCGTGATTGCTGTCTTCGCTCAGCTTCCCTTTCATGGCCTCCTGTACAAATTCCAAAATTTCCAGTGGCAGTCTTTTGAATTTGTCTTGGTATTCCTGCTCTAGCTCCGTCTGCAGCTAGGAGACATCAAGAAAGAATTTGAGGTTATTTGCATTTCTATACCCACATCCAAGCAGAAAACTCTTGGGAAAAATCTGTACAAAGTGGGACACAGAACAAACTGTTTCAGGGATGTTCAACAGAGCTTGGCTGGACAAGTCATTTTTTCAAAGCTGATGGTCAGGTTCAGGTTATGGGGAGCAATACAGAGCTAAAGACCTGGAATAAAACAGATAAATCTACCAGCAATCAATCTCTCTCTCTCTCTCTCTCACTCATGTTAAGAGTCTCTGGGAATAGCATACCATGCATGGTCTGAAATGCTGACACTAAGCATTGAAAGCTTTTGACAATCAAGAGTTCCAAGGTTGGCCTTGAATTGGGCTGGAGCCCCTGGGCTGCCTGTTAGAAGGAAGTGGAATTCAGGCCGTGCTGCTGCAGGTGTCTGGGAAGGGGCTGCTGAGTGCTTCTGCCGGGCAGCTCCTGCACAACTCTGGTGACCAATTTTAGCTTTCAATTTTACATCTCTGCTTGTTACTTTACTTTCCTGCCATTCAGATTTTATTTGCTTTTTTTTTAAAAAAAAAAAAAACTGTTCTAGATACATTTTTACTTTCTTTAACTTGACCTGTTCCATGCCATGGGGAATTTTCAGAATTTTCAGTTTTCAGGAAACTTTCTTCCAATGAACACCTGCATGGAGGCCCTACTGGTAAAATCGGTGTAAACTTGAGAGTCTCATAGAAGCGAGATGCAAAGTTGCTCACATGCGTGCCAGACACAAGTACTTGATTTATCCCCTGCTTCCTCCAGGAAGCTGGGATTGCAAGTGGAGTGTGCACTTGAGCCCAGGCTCTCTGGAATGGTTGCAGACATCCCAAGCAGCCAGGTCTTAACCACTGTGTCCAGCTGCCTCCTCACTTTTCCCACTCCAGGGTGAACAGAGGTTGCCGGAATCCCTGCTCTTCATTCTGGCCCACTGGAATGAGTGCTGTGGCTGAGACCCTGCTTTTCTCAGCACCTGCTGTGGTATCCCCATGACTGACTCACTAGGGCCACCCTTGTCTCCCTGCCCAGGGTTCTCTTTGAGCCCCCAGTTCTTGCCATCTCTCTCTGGACTGCACCCCCTCCAGCAGCAGGAGCTCTCAATGCAGTCTTGGAAGTTTGTCCTGGCCCCTGGACTATGCAGGGTCACTGGAGCCCACCCTTAGGGGGGTCTGCCCCTCTATTTCTTGACTTGCTTGAGAACAGTGTCAGCAGCTTACAAACATCATTTTATGTCCACTGCTGTTACTCCTGCTTCTGTGCTAGAGATGATTGTATGATTCATCTCATTTGTGTTACCCAATCCTTTGTCTGTAATTCCACAACACCCAGGTTCTTTGATTGAGCAGTGTTTTTCTTTGGGGTGCACTCATTGACATAAGTGGGCTTGGGCCTTTTACAACAGTGATGTATCACCTTTGCTCATGCATTCTACTGCAGACATAGCCTTCTGCTCGATTGCAAGGGGTTATTTTAGATTGTTATGCTTCTGGTGCATGCATTATATCTCCTTATCACAATAGAAAAAAAGCAATGAATTTTAAGAAATAATGCTCCTCAATCGACAAGAGCAGATTGTAGTTCTTATTCCAGTAATTTTTTTTCATATCAAAAGATGTCTGAAAAAATGGCTTAACCAGACTATTGCAAATCCACAATTGTCCCTAAATAGAAATGTGGAGTGTTGATGAAGAGATCATGCTAGCATGCAAATTCTAACAAGCCCAGGAGGAAACCAACCATGGGAGAGAGGCCCAAAGCTCTGAGTCCCACTGAGGTGCTACAAAGGCACCTGAACGAACCTTCTGTGTGGCTCTCGTGGAAATCATGTGGCAATCACAGAGCATCCAACAAGCAGACAGGTGCCATTTGTCTCCCAGTGGGACTTTTACAATGTTACATTCTTGCATGGGTGAACTCTCTCAGCCTGTCTGACAGCTCCCATTCAGAGCTACTGAGGCCTTCTCCTGGGTTCACCTCAATTTTAATCTAGCAAAAGATGCCGTTCAAATTTTGTTGCAAGGGATGGTAGGGAAAGAGAAACACAAGGAAGGACTCCTTTTCAGAGAGAGCAGAATATCATTGTAAGCTGGACAGGTGGACCCTTAGCTAAGGGCATGTTGCGTCTGAAGTTGGAGACCATTTGATTGAGTTTAATGTTTCTTGGCAGATGAGACCACATGGTACTCAATAATTCTGGAATTCATTAGATAAAAAATGAGAAATGCCAACTATGTAAGCCTACACTTTCAAATATTTTAATATATTCCAGTAAGAATTTAATTTTAATAGTGTTTAAAAATAATTATAAAATCGACCAATTTCGTAGTGGGCTCCCCCCCATGGGACAGTAGATTTTACTATCTTTTAAATGGATTCACTGCCTCATATTTATTAACTATTACTCAACTCTTCTTAAAAGGTCAGTTATTAATACATTTCAAGATTGTATTTATTAAATTTCAAGTTAGAGCTTCTTTCCTTTTTGCTTCTTCTAAGCTAAATATTTGTTCACTGTAAGAAAACGTGAAAAAGTATACCAAGTACCAACAAGCCTCATCCTTCAGGAGTCTAGAGCAAGTTTAACCAAGGGATTGCAAAGCTAGGCATTCACAGGGGCCAAGGGCATTGGGAAAATGAGAAGCAGGTTATGGGTAAGGAGGGAGGAGTGGGGGAGGAGGAGCTGGATAGCCATGGGCTCTTCTGAACATCCTCTGTCTGCACCTGCAGCCTGCTGGGTGCCTGTTGGACAAGGGAAGTCACAGACCCGTATTTCCACATAGAGTTTTTTGCTTTTTGTGGCTAGTTCAAACCCCATCTGTGAGCCCCGTGTGGCACATGGGAAGTTTGTCGCCCTTGCTTATTTCATTCTGACATCAGAGAAGTTGGGTTCAACTGTGGGATTCCAGTCTGGATCCATCTGAATTCTTCTTAACTGTGAGTTGCTAGGGTTTTCTCCCTCCTGCCCACCTCTCTGCTGGGGCTCAGTGTCACCCTAGCTCCTGACCACAGTCTTGTAGTGTGACTTTACATGTCATCACGGCAAGGGTGGGAGTGGCATGTACTTCTTGACTCTGAGGCAGTTTTGTAATTTTTCTTCGCCCAGGAGAATGTGTCAGGAGTATCAGTATTCAGTTGTGAGCCTAAAGATACCTGCTTTTTCTCTGTGGAAGCTTACTCTGCCAGCATGTCAACAAGCTTTGTCTAGTTTATAGGTGGAGGAGACTTACAGTCCGGGAAGCCTTTCTCATCACAACTGACCATCAGATGTGAAAGTGAGCTATGGTAAATCTGCCAGTCACTAGCTGACCTCACCCCATTCCCAACTAAACGTTAGCAAACTCAAGCCTACTGAGATCAGTTGAGCCTAGTCCAGACCATCACTACCTGGTTCAAATCATCACTACATGAATTCAATTGACGCTTATTTTATGCCATTGAATATTGCAAGAAGTTGGGCAGCAGTATTATGGCAATAACTGATAGAAGAGCAAGGGAAATGTAAGATTCTCCCATGAAATGCTCATTTGATTCACTTGGCTCCATCTTTTCATTACCTTGACCTTAAACCATACTGCAGTAGGGAAATGTCATCACGGGAAGGATTTATTTCAAAATAAATCTAATTTGTAGGTAATATCTTACAAATTCTACAGTACAATATGAACAGGCAGAAACAAAAGCACTCCCAATGAAACTTAAATTTACCTTGACAATTTGATATTAAATTTTCTTCCACTGCTTATACCTACAACATCATGATGCACATAAATAGCAAAATGTTGGAACTGTGACTGCAGCTGAAGGACCATATTACTGTAATACGATAGGGGAGATAATAGTAGGAATGGAGAATAGGGAGGGAGAACATGAAGGGAAAGAGGGAATCCTTATACCTACAAAACTAGCATGGGAAATAACAATAAAAGAGAATGAGCACTGAGTCTGGTTGCTCCTAAATTTATAAAACATCCTTTTGGAAAACGGGCAAAAGGAAGAACGTGGCTAAATTTAACCTCTAAATTTCAAAGTGAGTTGTTACATTATACACAGACATCAATAAATAAGGGGTTAAAGTTCATTTGATTCTAGGCAGAGTTCTGCAGTTTGATCAGCCAGACTCCATTTCCAAGTTTTTCTTTTAACTTGATTTCAAAAAGACATTGCCTACTCATTGCCTTTGTAAACTCTGGACAGCTCAGTGGAAAAAGGCAACACAGTCAAGTTCAAATACGTTCGACTCTGCCTATTGTTAGAGGTTTTGTGTTCCGTCTCTGACATTTTCTTTCCAGACTTGTTTAAAAAAATAAAAATAGGGATTTGATTTAGATAAGGGAGTTTTGGCAGAGCTGTGACTAGAGTTCAAGCACAAGGCTGCTTATGAAGCTTCACTTACAAACAGAACCACTCCAAGAATCAATGCAATGTACATGGGTTGCAAATAGAAGTCAGACTATAGGGTTATTATACAGATATGATCAAATCCAATATTGTGAGGAAGCAACTTGAACTCACAGAGCAATCAGCTACAGTGGGATAACAAAGAAGACTGCTGAAACTTTGTGTCGAAAAGTTGAGGGGGAAATACATTTCATGAAAAGAGCTGCTTGTGAATTCCAACTGTCTTGCTTGTTGTACATACTGTTGGATCCTCAAACATCCAACACAACAGCTCAGGTTGGGCTAGACTGAAGCCAGGTCCTGCAGCTCCATTTGGTGTCTCATGTGGGCAGCAAGAGCCCAAGTACCTGAGCCATCATGTGCTACCTCCCAGCATGCATAAACAGAAAGCTAGATCGAAATGGAGGAGCCAACTGGAATCGGCAACTTCACTATGGGAGGCAGGTGTTCCAATAGGGTAGGGTTCGGGTTACGTGCCACAGGACCTTCTCCTACGGTGCATATTTAAAATTGAACTCCTCATGGTAATTTCACACTTTGAAATTATAGCTCTAGGATTGTGGCAGACAGG